AAAATGGATGCCATGCAAACAGTCTCCCACACTGACTGATCAGGGTAACTGTTGCTAAAGGTTAGGTGGCTATGGCAATTAAAAAAAATAAGACAACAATGAAATTTTCTGCATAGATGACTCTTTCACTTAAATACTGAGAGGTTATTGAAGGATTATTTTTAAAAATTATTTATATTAATTTATTTTTGTTACAGATGTTTCTCCTTTTTCCCCCATTGACAACTTTCTCCCCATCCCACCTCCCACCCCCATCCTGTCTATGTCCATTGGTTATACATACATGCATATAAGTTTTGTGGTTTATCTCTTCCCTCCCCCCTACCTCTTCTTCTGAGGTTTGTCAGTCTGTACCCTACCTCTATGTCTCTGGGTCTATTTTGTTCATCAGTTTGTTTTGTTCATTATATTGAAGCATTATTAATTGGCCTAATTTTTTTATTGTTGTATTTTATAGAATAGAGAGGCTCGAGGGGAGGGCAAGAGATGAGATAACAGCCAGTCAGTGGAGCATTCAAAACAAAAACAACATTTATTACTTAAGTTTGCAATCTTATATGGACATGGTTCATGGTGTCTTCCAATAATTACAATAATAATGTCAAAGATTTTTTTTTATCACAGACCACTATAACAAATGTAATAATATCAAAAAAGTTAGAAACATTGAGAGAATTACCAAAATGTAATTCTCATGAAGTGAGCAAATGCTGTTGGAAAAATGGTGTTGATAGACTTGCTGGATGTAGGGTTGTCACAGACCTTCAATTTGGGAAAACACAGTATCCTCAAAACACAATAAAGTTAAGCTCAATAAAATGAGGTATACCTGTATAGATTTCCCTCTAAGTACTTGCTTAATCTGTATCCCATTAGATTTGATATGTTGTGTTCTCACTTTCATTCATCTAATCATATTTTCTCATTTCCCCTTTGACCAGTTGGTTATTAGAGTGTGTTATTTCTATATATTTTCCCCAATTTCTGTTGATCTTCTATTTTTATATACATTATTAAAGTGACATTTTGGAGTCAACAACTATATTCTCCCTTTAATTCCTAGTTTTTACTTCGTGTATTTTGGGGTCTTGGTAGGTACATATATGTTTATAATTGTTATAGTTTCTTGATTAAGTGACCCTTATAGAATGTCTTCTTTTTTTTTTTTTTTGTCTCTAGTAAGAATTTTTGTTTTAAATTGGTATTATTTTAAAGTATGTTTTCCCCTCATGGTATAGATTAATTTCACCCTCATTTTAAAGAATAATGTTTTAGATATACAATTGCCAGTCATTTTCTTTCGGCACTTGGAATATACTGTTCCACGGTCTTTCTGCTTCCATGAGAAATCTGCTGTTTTTTTTTATTTTTTATTGAGGATCCTTTGTATATGATGAATCTTTGCACTTTCAAGATTCTCTCTTTGTCTTTCACATGTTTTATTATGATGTGTCTAAATTTGAATGATGTGTCTAAATTTGGGTCTTTATGAGTTTATTGTATTTGAAGTTTATTCAGCTTCTTGGACATGTAGATTAATGTTTTCTCTCAAATTTGGGACATTTTGGTTATCCTTTGTTGAAAATCTTTCTGCCCTCTTCACTCTTTCTTTCCTTGTATGTCTCCCATTATGCATGTCCATTGTCTCTAGGTGCTGTTCCATTGTCTCTAGAATTCTGTTAATAATATTTATTGATTCTTTTAAAATTTTCTTCAGGTTGTATAATCTCAATTGATCTATTTACTGATTCTTCTGCTTGCTCAGATCTACCATTGAGCCCTTTTTAATGAATTTTTCATTTCAGTTATTATACTTATAAACTCCAGAATTTCTCACTGTTTTTTAAATTATTTTTATGTCTTTATTGATATTCTCTATTTGGTGAGACAGTGTTCTCATACTTTCCTTTAGTTCTTTAGAAATAGTGTTCCTTATTTTTTGAAACTATTTAAAATAGATAATTTAAAGTTTTTACCTATTAAGTATAATATGTGGGCTTCCTCGGGGGCAGTTTCTATTGATTGCTTCTTATACTGTATAAGGGCTTTTCTTTTATTTGCATGGCTCCGAGTCATTTGTTGAAAACTGAACATTAAAAATACTATGATGTGGCAACTCCCGAAATCATGGCCCTTCCTCTTCCCAGGATTTTTTTGTGACGTTTGTTTGTTTAATGTCTTTAAACAAACTAATTGAACTAATTCTGTAAACTAATTCTGAACTAATTCTGTAAAGTCTGTACTCTTTGTCATGTGTGGCCATTGACGTCTCTGCTCAGTTAGATTAGTGTTCAGCTAATGATTGAATTGAGATTTCCTTAAAAGCCTTGAACCAATAAATTTTCTAGCCTTTGCCAAGGGGCACTGCCAAGGGAATATTGAGCACACCTTCAAGGATGTACAAAGTAATTTACAACTCTTCCTTAGCCTTCATTTCCTGCTTCTGCAAAGCCTCAAGGTCAGCCAGGGGTGAGAGATTAGGGCCTTCTAAAGTCTTTCCAGGGCATGTGCACAGCCCTGCTATGAATGTGGCCTTCTAGACTTCCAGGAACATGTTGGAGATTTTCAATGTCCCTGAGGGTTATCTCATTTCACAGCTTTATTTTTTAAGTTTTTTTGTCAGCTTCTTGTTTGCATCAACTGTTATCACTGCCTCAAGTAGCTGCAATATTAAACAATTACTGCTGATTGCTTTTGGCAAATTCCCCGGGGAAGGGGGGGGGTCACTCTTTGCAGTGAGTAAGCTCTGAGTTAGGTTTAAAAAAAAAGTCCTGTGAGTAAGTGTTTCCAGAAAATTTTGAGATAGGCCAGATAATAACAGTTCTTTGAAGATGGGGCATTTGGAAACTCTAAACCCCTTCACCCCCTCCATAGTCCATAGTATTGTGGTTGTGAGGCTGTTGGTTTTCAAGGCAACTACATCTTGAGAAAGCGCAATAGAATTAAGGCAAGTAAAAATAATCACAAAGCTTAGTCTTACTAATAGTAATTTTCTTAAATAAACACTCCTTGAATTTTACAAGCATTTGCTTCTGAAAAAGTTGATATTTATAGTTTTTACCAATTTCTTACTGCTTTTATGAAGGGAAAGTCTTTTTGTAGATCCTTACTCCACCTTTTCCACTGATATACATGCCTTTTACTTAAATACAAAATAATAACACTTTTATTTATTATATAAACAACATCATAACAATAAGCAAACACTCACAAAGAAAACTCTTCTGCAGTCTTCCCCACTTACCACATCAACTGTTTTTTAAAATTCCATTTTTTGCCCACTGACATGAATATTTTTAGTACTATTATAATCATAATCTAGATTTACTTATACTCTCCTTTTGTTACATTGCACCATAACATTGTTTCTTATGCTTTATAATTTGTAGAATGAACGTTTTAATGATTAAAATTCTGTCAAATTTATGTGCTATAATAATTTTATCATCTTTGTTTTTGACCACTTATGTGTTATCAACTTGATTGGTATTATAAATAAGGCTACTTATGCTATAAGCATGTAGTTTAAAAAATATCTCCTTAGCATAAATTTTGTTTAGTAATGTTTGCTATCAAAGACTACATACACTTTATTTTATGCCTCAAGTTACTTCTAAAAGGATTATGCTAATTTACATTTCCATCAATAATATATGTTTCTTTACATCCTTTCCAACATCCTGAAACATTGGCTATTATTCATTTTTTATTTTTTTATCCTCACCTGATGACATTTTTCCACTTTTGTTCAGATAGAGTGGGAAGGAGAGAGAGGATGAGAGAGAGAGAGTGAGAGAGAGAGAGTGGAGAGAGAGGCATAGATATGAAAGGGACATATTGAGTGGCTGCCTCCCGTACAACCCCAACCAGGGCTGGGGATGAATCACAACTGAGGTACATGCCCTTGACTGGAATCAAACCTGTGACCCATTGGTCCATGGGCTGATGCTCTAACTGCTGAACCAAACCAGCCAGGGTTATTATTGATTTTTAAATTGATTAATTAAAATGTACTAAAATTATTATTGAGGTTGAACAACTTTTATGTCTGATTTATTTTACAAACATTTTTTATTCTGTGGTCTTTAAAATGCTATAGCTTTTCAATAATACTATGATAACTATGTATGGTACTAGGTGGGTACTGGACATATCAGGGGGAACACTTTGTAAAGTATGTGATTGTCTAATCACTATGTGCTATACACCTGAAACTAATACAAAATAGTATGGAAAATAATTGAAAAATAAAAAATTTTAAATTTCTAAAATTAAAATAAGTTCTATAGCTTGGTCTATAGTTGATATTTTCTTCACGTCTGAAAAAGTAATTAGGAGATTGTCATATAGAATCTTATCAGGTTAAAGCCACTTTTAAATTGTTTTCCTTAATATTAAAATATCTCTTGCTCAGCTGGTGTGGCTCAGTGGGTTGAGCAACATCCCATGGACCGAGAGGTCCCAGTTTGATTCCCTGTTAGGGAATATGCCTGAGTTGCAGGCTTGATCCCCAGTAGGGGGCATGCAGGAGGCAGCCAATCGATGTATCTCCCTCACATTGATGTTTCTATCTCTCTCTCCCTTCCTCTCTCTAAAAAGTCAATAAAAACATGTGCGTGTGTGTGTGTATCTTACTTGTTGTCACAATATTTAGAAGTACTAAACGATATCTTTTTTATCCTAGCAATAAAGCTACTCTTTTAAATATTTCTTAAAAGTTATTAAGAAGTCATATATTCCCAGAAAAATCTGATCCAGTACCAGTTACAATTTAAAGTATTAATTGACTTTTGCCCATATATTAAAGTATATTGTACATTGTTTCTTGAAGGAAATGTATTTTGAATGTTAGTTCATGTTCAAGCTAACTTTTAGAATGTGTCACTTTAAAAACTCAGAACTTCTTAATCAGTGATTGTACAAATGAAAATACCTGAAATTAGTGACTTTCTACAAAATTGTTTTTCTTACAACTTCATCTAACTTTTCCTTTTTCCCAGTTTAAGGCCCGTCCTCCTGCTGTGACTTTCAAACTAACTGGGGAGACAGATGGAATATTTCAGATACAACCAGATGGACTTCTGTATCACACCAAACCTCTGGACAGGGAAACAAGAGCTGTTCACAAACTCGAGGTGAATTGAGACCAGAAAATGTCACCTAATTCCAACCTTTCTGAGCATCCTTTGTCCAGGAAGTATCACTGACACCTCCTTCCCTTACATAGAACCCTGTTAGGGCTCTCCTGACATTAATGGTATGCTTGGTAAACCTGATGTGTCCATTTTTTACCAGCTACAATGGGGTATGGCAAAGGTCCCTTCTTCCTTAGGTTTTTGACTACAGCAACCTAATTTACATTGCCAAGGCCCACAGATGGCATTACTCGTTCAAGTATGGCATGCTCAGGCACGTGGATCAAAACCAAGCCAACACATCCGTGATTTTCACTGGTACCTGCCTGTGTCTTTTGTGTGGGCTCTGGATCCACAAAGAAGGCAGCATCAGTGCTGGGATGGAGCTTCTTTGGACTTTGCAAGAAACAGAAATAACCAATGGTCAGTTTTTGTGTTTGGTATCTGAATATGCAGGCATAATAAAGAGCTAATTGTGGGGAAATAAGAGAAAGCCAAAAGCTTTCTGTTTGGTGACTTCTACTGTTGGATTTGCAGGTTGACCATTAAAATGCCTCTGTAAGAGAACATCATGACACTTCTATAGCCTCAGGGTCAAAGTGTTCTTATGTCACTGACTCCAGGTATTTAGAAAAGAAGCATGTCTAGTGTCCAGCATACCCCACCACTAGAAAAAGTCATGATAATCCAGGTTTAACTGATTGGGCCCCTGTTTTAGCAGCTCCCAATTTGGGCTTTTATGGGTGTCTTTCTCCCCTACTTTTACCAGGTGTTGGTTCTTTGAGCTCTAATTTACCCCAAGTGACTTTTGTTATGTAATGTGAAGTCCAGTTTCACCAAGATAGTTAGTTTCCTTTCCCTTTCTACATCAGGTCTCAGCCCTGGATGCTCACGGAGCTACAGTGGAGGGTCCAGTCCCCATCACAGTGGAAGTGAAGGACATTAACGACAATCGACCCACGTTTCTCCAGTCAAAATATGAGGGCTCAGTAAGGCAGAATTCTCGCCCAGGTAATAGGAACACCTGAAGGTATTTATGGAAAGATGGAAGGGTATCAGGCAGGAGGGGCAGATTTGTGTGGCTAACAGCTGCAACTGTCATTCATTAAGCACTTACTATATTATTTAAATTTCACCACAATCCTCTGGGAGTTGTTTTATTATCCCTATTGTTCTAGGTCATGTTTCTCAATCTTGGCACCATTGACATCTTAGGCCTGATAATCCTTTTTTTTAAAAAAATCAGGTGCTGTTATATGCATTGTAGGATGTTTAGCAACATCCCTGACATCTACTCACTAGAAGCCAGTAGCAACACCTACCACTAAATTGTGACAACAAAGATGTCTTCAGACATTGCCAAATGTTCCCTAAGGTTTCCCATTTGAGAACCACTATTCTAGAGTGAGCTTTAGAACACCTTAGAGCTCTACAACACTTTAGAATACTCTAGAAAGTGAGCTCATTCTCCCATATCTTCCCAGGACCATGACCTTTTCATGGTCACTGTTGGCTCCTGTTTCTTTTTCTTCTCTTACTTCCAACCCTAGCTGTGACTCACCCATTCACTATGCTCCTACCCTTCATTGTCACAAAAGCCCATCAAGGCATAGGTGTGTGCCACAGACTTTACTGAAGATTTGGGGAGTTGAAGGAGCTTTGCATCAAAACAGTGCACAAAATAAACATGAATATTAGACTTCCAAGTTCTCAGAAAGATTCTTGGCCATTTCTGTCAACTCACTGTCAAGTTTCCCTCTCCACTACTTAATCCTCTCTCTCATTCGTTAATGCCCACTTCCAATAACCGAGGAAACTTTATTATGTAGAGCAATTTTACTCTCTCTGTCCCTAAAATTTCATACTAAAGACTCTCTAACAAGCTCTGCTACATAGGAATCTTCCATATCTTTCCCTTTCTCTCTTCATCAATAGGATCTTCTAGATTAGTGGTTCTCAAACTTTTTGGTCTCAGGGCTCTTGTATTTCCTTAAAATTATTAAGGACTCCCGGCCCCCAGTTGGGGTCGTGTGGGTGGCAGCCAGTCAACGTGTCTCTCTCACGTCGATGTTTCCTTCTTTCTTCCTTTCTCCCTCCTGCTCTATCTGAAGATAAATGCCAAAAAAAAAAAAAAAAAAAAAAATTATTAAGGACTTCAGTGAACTTTTGGATATATCCAGTGTTGTTATATGTGGGGTATATCCAGAAGAGTGCTGGTAAATGTTTAATAGCTCTCTGTCTGGGGGAAAAGCCCTGCCTGTAGCATTTACCAATTTCTGTGGTAAAAATAAAAATATTCCTACAATGGCCTTTCTAAGCTATCAGTGTTGTTAATAATTTGCTCACAAAACTTCTGGAAAATCAACAATTGGCTCTCATGAGCTGGCTCCAGTACATCACTGGTTGTATCTACCAATATTTATATTAGAAATTAAAACTGAGAAACTTTAAAATACTTATTAATTCATTTAAAGTAATAAACATTTTAATAAAAACTATATTTTCAAGTACAAAAAGATTAAGAAGAATGACATTGTTTTCATCTTTGCAAATCTCTTTAATGTCTGAATTAATTGAAACAATTGGATTCTCATGTCTGTTTCTGCACTCCTTCTGTTGCCTGCTGCTGTTTTAGTTGAAGCATATGAAGAAAAATTTGCCTCACACAGATATGTACTTGGAAAAGGGAGGAATATTGTAATAGCATTTTCAAATAATTATGGATACTATACCTAAACTCAACAAGTGGTGGTTTCTTAAAGGTTGATTACAATGTGGAATCTGAAACCATATCACTGCCTTGACACCTAAATCCATTAAATTAACTTGTGGGTTTTTTTGTTTGTTTGTTTGTTTTTTACATGTACGTAAGTTTAGATTCCATTGACCCTAAAATCAGTCTTGGAGATCTCTTGACCATACTTTGAGAAACCTCACCCTAGGGAAAGCAAGCAAAATAAAGATTCATTCCCCCATTGTTATGAATTATGGCATCTTCCCCATTCTGTCTCTGCCACTTAGAAGGCCAAAGTGACTATGGTTGGTTTGGGTTTCAATTAATCTCTCTCTTTTTTTCTGTGTACATTTTGTTAAATAGGGAAGCCTTTCATGTATGTCAATGCTACAGACCTGGATGATCCAAACACTCCCAATGCCCAGCTTATTTATCAGATTGTCATGCAGCTTCCCAAGATCAATGATGTCATGTACTTTCAGATAAACAACAAAACAGGAGCAATATCACTTACCTTGGAAGGTAAGTTGAGTGATACCCTCGCAGGATTGAATTATAAAAAGGGACCCCGATCTGTGTCAGCTTCAGACACATTTCCTTTTCTTTCTTCTCTACTTTCCATAGGATCTAAGGAATTGGATCCCATTAAGAATCCTTCCTATAATCTGGTGGTCTCAGTGAAGGACATGGGAGGCCAGAGTGAGAATTCTTTCAGTGATAGCACATCTGTGGATATTACGGTGAAGGAGAATATTTGGAAAACACCAGAACCTGTGGAAATTGTGGAAAACTCGACTGATCCTCACCCCATCAAAATCACTCAGGTAGTGCCTAAAGAATGCGTAGAGCCCACTAGATAAATGTCCTCACTCTGTAGAAGCACACCCTCATGGTCTTCACGGATACATTTATTATGTACATTTTTACATAGCATAATTATAAAGCAAACTAAATAGACAAAATATTTGTTCCCAAGTCTCTAGAGTTTACCATCATGAGTAAACTCTGGGCTTCACCAAATCAGATTCATCTATATCTATCTATATCTATATCTATATCTATATCTATATCTATATCTATATCTATATCTATATCTATATCTATCTATATCTGTGTCTATGTCTATATCTATATCTATATCTCTCTATATATCTATATCATTTATATCTATAGCTAATTTTTCTATATCTGTATCTATATCATCTATAATCTATCTATATCTATCTTTAAAAGAGAACTTCATCTAAGATTCCCAAAATACAATTGATGTTTGTTGTTCTCTGTGAGTAGTCTGGGATATGGCTGCACTGGAGTGGGTTGTACATGGTGCACATGTCATATATATATATACACACACACACACACACACACATATATATGTATATATATATATATATATATCTATATATATATATATATCATCTATATCTATATCTATCTATCATTGAATTTTGAAAGGCTGTTTTTTATTCTTGTGGGGAAAATCTCTGTCCAGTAGACTCATCTCATCATAGACTGAAGTATATAGACAGGATTGGCCAAGAGTAAGAGTTGAGTAGGCAACTTTTACCTTTGGAGACCACCCTCCCTCAATTCCATCTCCTCTGTGTGCCTCTCCTCTTCATTCACATGCTCCCCCTTCCCACCTCTGTGGCTGATGCTCTCACCCTGAGTTCCCTCCTCCTTTAGCTCTGAACTCCACCCAGATCTGATCTTTCTGGAAAATCAGGAGTTTCCTTGACATGAAAGCTGTGTGTTACTGATAGAGCACTGGATTTGGAAGCAGATGACCAGAACTATGTCCTTACTCCATTACTTTAATGATTGATCATAGAATAAGTCATTTAACTGTTCTTAGCCCCAACCTCTCACCAGTAAAATGGGGATCATAACACCTCTCTGGGTTGTTGTGAAGACTAACTAAGAAGTCGTGTCTGTAAAGGTGGGTCATGGGTATTAATGTTACATGTGAGTCCCAGCCTGTGGTTCCCCTAAGGCTGTTTTAAAATGACACTGCTGTTGTTGAGGGGCCCTGGAATGGTCCATCCCATATCTAATGTATAAACTAAAGGAATTTTTATTTACTGAATGTTGAATTAATGAACTTCACCATTAGAAGGAAAAGAATGAAAGCAAGAGTTATTCTGCTTTGCTAGCTAAGAAGGTGTATCAGGACTCAATGCCACGACAATTGCAGATTTGAGGCCTTTACTAAACTCTTTCTATTTATTATTTAGGTTATCCCCATAAGGATTTGTAAATGCTAAAAAAAATGCATATGCTTGTTTGCTCTTGGGACTGTCAAAGAAAATAAATTCTGGTGTGTCACACCCAATACCTTTCCTCAAAATTCACTTTGGGCCCTGTAGGTGCGGTGGAATGAGCCAGGTGCACACTATTCCTTAGTTGAGAAGGAGAAGCTGCCAAGATTCCCATTTTCAATTGACCAGGAAGGAAACATTTATGTGACTCAGCCCTTGGACAGAGAAGAAAAGGATTCAGTGAGTAAAACCGGGAAGAGTTTCACAGGCGACAAGACCGAGTGCTGTGCTCACAGAGAGCTGAGAGCAGAAAATATTTTACTTAAAAACAGTAACAAAATCCCCCAAACTGTGTTCTGAACCCCAGTACATACATTATTGCTCTCAAGATATTATAATATCCCCACAAATCCAACCTGTTTTTTCCCTTATTTCCCAGTTCTAAGTAAACTGGAAATAAGAGGTTAAATGAAATAGAATTGAAACAGTCATTTTGTTAGTCTTTTAGAGGCAATGATGGGGTCATGTCTTAACTCTGGTCTTCCTGTTGTAGTATGTTTTCTATGCGGTTGCAAAGGATGAGCTTGGAAAACCACTTGCATTCCCACTGCAAATTCATGTGAAAGTTAAAGACATTAATGATAATCCACCTACGTGCCCACCTACAATGCCTGTACTTGAGGTCCAGGAGAATGAAGGAATAGGTAAGAAATGAGACCTGTTCAAAGCTGTATTACGTCTTTCTTATGTTAACTCTGTAATCCTTTTCTCCTCTCTGTCTTGTAAAAAAAGGTGGGCAGGTAAACCTGATTGGTGGTCAGTTATCCATGTCTAGTACAGTATAGAGGTTGAATATACCTTCCGACTCACATAAGTACATTTTTTTTTTTTCTGGCTCAGTTACTACCTGGGTAGTGTTCTTAAATTGGAGCATTTATAACTACCACCAGCACTACTACCACTATTACTGTCCCTACTAATACTGTTACCACTATTAATACTACTACTACCACCCTTACCAGCAGCACTAACACCATAACCACCTATACCACTATGCTGTGTACATATATAAGGTTATCTCATTTGTAAGTTTTTTTTTTTATCCTCACCCAAGGACAGTTTTCTATTTTTCGTTCAGACAGAGTGGGAGGGAGAGAGAGAGGAAGAGAGAGGGAAACATCGACGTGAAAGGGACACATTGAGTGACTGCCACCCACATGACCCAACTAGGGCTGGGGACAAACTGCAACTGAGGTACATGCCCTTAGTGGGAACTGAACCCGGGACTCTCTGGACCGCAGGCTGATGCTCTAACTGCTGAGCCAAACTGGCCAGGGCTCATTTGCAAGGTTTTTACATAGATTCTTATTTTCCCTCTAACAAACTCAGTAACAAATTAAACCTCATCAAACTTGCTAAATGATTTAAATCAGTGTTTACTCCCAAGGTCAGATACTCTGCAATAAATAAGCACAACAAATGAAAATTGACTTTTGACCCTTGATGCTCCCTCTCTAGGAAGCTGATAACAATAGTTCAGGAGGCTTGTAGATAAAAGTTCAAATTCTAGCTATTTTTGTCCTTTTTTTCTTGACTTGCTTTGTTTTCTTTTACTGTGTCTAATGGTCGCTTTAGTTTTGTACAGGGACAACTACGTATGAGAACATTATGATTTCTGGGAGTTTTATGACTTCTCTGGATTCCCAGTTTTAGCCCCACAGTGGGATTGTGGCTGCATGTGGAGAAACCCACAATTCCCATTTTACAGAGCAAGATGACCAGAATCTATCAGACCTCACCCAGAGCTGTGGGTGAAATACTAAGTCACAACCTTTGACTTTTGGAACTCCCTGGACTGAAACACTCACAGGAATAAATACTCAGGGCCATAAACTGCAGCGAGGCAGAGAGAATGCATACCTGTTCTTTGCCCCCATTATCTTTGGGGTCGGTCTCTGCACTTGTTTCATAATATTGCTGAGAAGTCACCCACTACTGGCTTGCCCTTCTTTAGTTATACCGTTTGCCTTGTGTATTAGTGTCTGAGGGTGGTTGTAGCAAAGACCACAAAGTTGGTAGCATAAAACCAACAATTCTTTCACAGTTCTGGAGGCTAGAAATCTCAAATCAAGGTGCCTTCTAGGGGAGAGTTTGTCCCTGCCTTTTCTGGCTTCTGGTAGCTCTTGGCTGCTTATGGTAGCATAACCCTGGTCTCTGCCTCCTACTTCACATGGTCTCTACCTCTGTGTGTGACTATGTGTCTTCTCTTCTTATAGAAACACTAGTCACTAGATTTAGAACCCACTCTAAATCCAGGATAATTTTATCTCAAGGTCCTAATTACATCTGCAAAGACTCTATTTCCAACTAAGGTCACAACAAGTTTTTGAGTGAACCTGAATTTTTGTGGGACACTTTATTATGGGCTGAATTGTGACCCCCTCCAAATTCATATGGTACAGTCCTAATGCCCAGTACCTCAAAGGATGACTATTATTTAGAGATAAGGTCTTTAAAGAAAGAAAGTTAAAATTATGTCATTAGTGCAGGTCTTAAAGCAATATGAATTAATGTTGGCATTGCTAAAACTTGGGAAGATGAGTCTGGCTAATATAAGATACCAAACAGGATAATATAGATATACTAAGGAATAATTCAGTATGTTTTTGAGCTAGACCATAAGACCCCCAAAGGGAAGGGGCATTGCTTTGTACCTCTTTTACCCTACATGTGTAGAATAGACTCAATACAACATCCTGACTGTATCGCTAAGATGGTATTCTTCCAATGAGAGAAAATCTGGACACAGACATGTACAGAGGAATGACCATGTGAAGACACGTGGAGATGACAGCTATGTATGAGCCAAGGAAAGAGGTCTAAAGAAAACCAACCTTGCTGACACCTTGATCTCAGACCTCTGAGAGATCCAGAAACTGTGAGGAAATAAGTTTCTGTTGTTAAAGCTACCCAGTCTGTGATACTTTGTGATGGTGACCCTACAAACCAATATACTACACAATACACTACACTAGGGTTAGAAGAACCAAAATAAATCAAAGGACTTCAATCAGTCATTGAAAGTTATTTACAGAGCTTTCTAGGAACCTGCTTTTCCAGTGGAACCATTTTAAATAAATTAAATTGAGCCTGTAACGGATGAATTTTTTTCTTCTTTATAGGTAACAGTATTGGGACCCTTACTGCCCACGACAGGGATGAAGCAAACACGGTCAACAGTGTTTTACAATACAGAATTTTGGATCAGGTCCCTAAGTATCCCAGAGAAGGACTCTTTGTTATCCAGACCTACACGGGGATGTTCCAGTTAGCCATACAGTCCTTGAAGAAGCAAGATGCTCCTCAGTACAACTTGACGGTAGAGGTGTCCGACAAAGGTTAGTATCACATTTGCTGTCAAGAGTGTTTTCCTTTTAGCTGTGATTTGTTAGGCTGTTCTAATGCCTGGGTGGATGATGGAATAATGCTGTTCAAGAATTCCTGCTTCCTATGTGAAACACACATGCAACACAGAGGCAGCTGGTCCAAGTTACAGCTCAGACAACAATATTGTGGTCCCAGGCCTCCAGGAAGCAGATGCCACGAGGGGATTAAATATACAAGGGTTTTGTGTTTTTTTTTTTAGGGAAAATGCCTATGGAAAAAATAAATGGGGAGAGATACAGAGAAGGCTGGAGAACCATCAGGCTGTAATGCAAGCCTGAGCCTGAGTGAAGGAGGCAGAGAAGGAAGCTGGTGGGAGTATAATAGACCACTGAGCAGACAAAGTTTGGCAAGGTGGCTAGGGAGTCCGAAATTGGACGCTGAAGGAGTCCAGCATCTTTAGGAATGGGCCTACCTGAGCGTGCCTGCCTTCTTCAGTCATTGGCCGGGGGCAGCCATGGGACGCAAGGCCTCAGTGCAAACGTAGTGATGGATTACAGGGTGCATCGTCATTTAATATCCCTGTTGTTGGAGGTTGGCAAGGCACGTTGTTATGGCCACCATAATCATAAACAAAAAAATTAATTGCATTTTCTAATTTTTTCATTTGGATTCAAAGGATTCTACTTATGAAAGTGGAGGAAAAATGCATCTTTTGGGAAGTTTTGTCTTCTCTTATTAGCATCTAGTTGGTCTCTTGACAATATCAGGAGACATTCTTCCATACTCCTTATACAATTTCAAAGCAAGTAGTTCTTGATTTTTGTTAGGTCACAAGACCCTTTGAGAATCTGATGAAAACTATGCATTCTCCAACAAATCCACCCATTCTCAGACAAATGTGCACAAACACAGAAAATACATGTATTCAGAAACAGAGTTATTTTAGGTGCACACACGTTTCCTGGTTAAGAATCTTTCCTTGAATTAGAACCGAATCTTAGATTAACAAATAGTTTAGTAAGTGTTATGCTAGGAGTGCTAGAAGGCATAGATTATATAGGTACGGAGGAAAAAGGGCATCATTTACACTGCGCTTCACATTTTTTCCCCTTTACACTGATGTTGATATACTGAACGGAACTGGGGTTTAATGTTTGAAATTTAGTAATGTGGCAAATATTAGGGGCCTAACATTTGTCTAGCATTATGTTAAAAAGTACAACAAAAGTGATAATGAATATAATAAATCTCGATGAGTTAACAATCTCATGCTAATAGCCATCCATTCTTTGATCATTGACCTTGTTTGAGGCACCCTAAGGTATTGAGGATATATCCGTATATAAGACCCTTTGTCCTCAAGGAGCACTCATGATAAAGGAGATGGACATATGAATAAATACATTGCAAGAAACATGTATAAGGTTGCTTGTGAAGGAAATGAGTGACTCAGTGAAGGAAGAGAAAGGGTAAGGCCTTTTGGAAGAGGTGAAAGAAATCCCATGTGCAAATGCAAGGGACCCAAAGCAATTTAAGGCTATAAGAGCATAAAGTGGAAATCAGATTACATATTGTCTATGTACATGAATGCAGCTATGGAAAATGTGTGTGTGTGTGTGTGTTGATGGAATTAAACATTCAGGTGTACACTACAGAAAATTAGAGACTAAGCTGTAATTAGCATAGCTTTACATAAAATCAGGGAGGGCTCATTACCGCTGGAGACCCCCTTCTGGTCCTAATGAGGTTTGTGCAGAGCAGGGAGCTGGTGAGTGCAGGTCCTGGGAACCCCCAACCTTTAGCCATTCTTGTTGTCTACAAATGTTCTGGGGACTACCCCCAGCTTTCATCAACTTTCACTTATTTATACTTCGGTTATTATTAGATTACATGCTCAGGGTATTGAGCAGCAGCTCTGCAGTAAGACTGCCTGAATATGTTTGTTAGGATCCCAGCGGGAAATAGAGGGCCCCCTCCAAAGGAGTAACCGAAACGAGTTAAAAGGAAGGATTATTGTAAAGGTTGTGGGCAAGGTGGAGGGAGCTAACAGGCAGAGGGAAGCACAGTGGACAGCCAGCCTTTCCTACCCTAAAGTGAAGTGCTGAGGGAAGGGAGCATTCTGGAAGTGGCAAGCCCTGTGCCCGTGACTATACACAAGGTGGCCGGCAATGGGGAACGCCACCAGACCTTTCGCCTCCTGCCCTTCCTCCCACTGCTTGCCAGTGCTCCTATTGGCACGACCCAACTGTTACCCAAAGGGCCGGAATGCCCACTGATGCAGTTCTTAAGGTGGGCCACCCAGACACAGCGCAGGGAGGAGGGCGGAGAGGGGGTAGAGGACAGAGGGAGCACGTGGCTTTAGATTCTGGCTCAATCGCTAGTTAGTTGTGTGACCTTAGACAGGTTACTTAACTTCTCTATCCCTTGGCTTCCTCATTTGTGAATGAAATGAGTGATAATAGTACCTACATCATAAAGTTAGTATTAAGATAAAATGAGTAATGCAGGTAACACACTTAGTAAAGTGCCCAGTACCTAGGGAGGGCTAACAATTTGTAGATGTCAAGAACCTTAGTTCCTTAGTTATCCAGAGTTTATACATGAGCTTACTGGAGCACAGACACCTGAGTGACACAGTCAAGCTCTCACACATCTGATAAGTGACAGAGCCAGAATTTGAACAGTGGGATTCCAGAGCCCTGATTCTTAACCTTTATATGATACAGTACGTCATCATTATTAGAACAATGGTGATTCCGACAAAGAACCTGTCTTTTTTTTATTCTCGATATTTCCCTGGGCACCCCATTCCCGTCCATACTCCATGCTCATCTCAGACATGGGTCAAACCTGCTGTCTCTCACTAGGTCTTTGAATTGTCAAACCCATCCCTCAAAGCCGGTGATATTTCCCCAGGGTTCCATGAGCCACCTCTGCCCCTGTCTTGCCTCCAGCAATCTGGGCGGTCAGGCCATTTGAAGGGGACTGATTGTATCACTTCTTCCCTTACTTGGAGGGAAGGAAGCAGGTACCCTGACCCTTCCCACCAAGGGGAGCAGAGGAGATGTAGGACAGTAAGTGCTGGGATACTCATAGAAGAAAAGAGCCAGCTGGGATGCTCAAGGAAGGTTTTCTGGAGGCATCGTTTTGCACTGGGCTTCGAAGGCTATGTAAATTTCAGTAGTTAGAAAAAAGAAGCTGCTTCACAGGGAAGGAATAGTCTTGCTCCAGAACAATCCTTACCCTGGAGGGGGCAGGTGGTGGGGAGTAGGAAGCCCAGGTAAACTTCTTTCAGGACTTGTTCAGCCTCCCTGCGGTGAGCTGCTTATGTGTGCAGGTGGGGAACAGAGATCCTGTTTCCACACAAATTGCATGTCAGTAGCAAAGTTGTGACTATGGCTGTCACTTCACTTGCCAGTGTTTTTCTTGCAGGTTTCTGATGTTAATGCATGCTTTTTCAGTGAAAAGTGTTTGTGCTATGACTTTGATTTTCAGATTTCAAGACCCTCTGTCATGTGCAAATCAACGTTATTGATATCAATGATCAGATCCCCATCTTTGAAAAATCAGATGTGAGTAGTTGTCACCCGTTGTTTTTTCTTTACTTTGTTCATATTACTTGATCCCTACTCTTGGAAAAAGATACAGACAATTGTTAGGAAAAATGCCAGACTTCACAGGTAGCCTTAGTCAATACATTAATAACAAACCCAGACGCCTTCTTCAGTGAAATTCTTGAGGGAATATTCATTATTATAATATCTGGGAATGTCTTTTTTTAAAAAAATATTTTTTCTTTATTGATTTTAGAGAGAAGAAGGGAGAGAGAGAGATAGAAACATTGATGAGAGAGAAAATAGATTGACTGCCTCCTGCATGCCCCCCACTGGGAATTGGACCCACAATCTGGGAATGTGTCCTGAACAGGAATTGAACCCGGCAACCTCTTGGTGCATGGGTCGACGCTCAACCACTGAGTCACACTAGCTGGGCTGGGAATATCTTTTTTTTTTTTTAATCCTCACCCGAGGACATTTTTCCATTTTTGTTGTTGTTGTTGTTCACGTAGAGTGGGAGGGAGAGAGAGGAACAGAGAGAGAGAGAGAGAGACATCGATGTGAAAGGAACACATCGAGTGGCTGCCACCGCACAACCGACCAGGGCCGGGGACAAACTGCAGCCGAGGTACGCGCCCTTAGCGGGAACCGAACCCAGGTCTCTCAGGACCGCAGGCCGATGCTCTAACCGCTGAGCCAAACCGGCCAGGGCGGGAATATCTTTTTTATAAACTTCTGCCAATGGTTCATTTATTCCAAGGGCTGCTTAATAGCTTCAACCACAATCTTTGTCAAATTGAAAGGAGTTGAGTAGCTACTTGCAATTTGTTATTATATATTTTGTGTGTAGTAAAATATGAATTAATGCTAGGTTTCAAGCAAGCATTTTTAGTAAAATGTTTAATATTTGGAATATTAAATTGATAATTTAAATTCATTTTGCAATATTTGGATAAGAGAAAAGGAGAATGGGGAAAAACAGCAACACCTAATCTCTGGCTTAAGCCAAAGAAAAATGTGCTCAAGATATTTGCAAGAATTAGGAACACTGGGCGAAAAAGCAGGAAAGAAAAAAAGATCAGTTGAGGAACATGTTTACTTATTGTTGATGTGGACTTTAAACTTGAGGGTAGTTTAATCACTGCTCCCTTAAAAGGGATATCTTCATTTAAGTATTCTGGAGCAGAGAAGAATCTGTTTTACTAGTTTGTTTGAAGTCAGTTGTGAAGCAGCCCATAATCCTGTGATGATGTTAATCATGGACTAATTAAAATAATGTATGTAAAGTACCTGCCACATTATAAGTACTCAATATATAGAATTTACTTATATCATCACCAGTAATAATTATGGTTATTAAATGTGTTGGACGTGGGAGTGGGGATCTGTTTTAGAAGCCAAACAGTAGCTCTCTGAGATGTTGTGTTTCTGGGTACAATGGATATCAGTCTACGAGTATGACTGATGTCATAATCAACTGCAACATATTTATCAATAAGAAAAACATGCTTGGTGAGCACTAATGTGAACTATGACTTGTGTCCATTCTGAAGGTACAGAGACAAGTTAGCTCTTTGACAATTAATTATTCTTGACAACAATGTACATTCTCATTGTTTCCTTCTTAGTATGGAAACCTAACTCTTCCTGAAGACACAGCTGTTGGGTCCACCATCTTAACCATCCAGGCCACCGATGCTGATGAGCCATTTACTGGGAGTTCTAAAATCCTGTATCGAATTACACAGGGAGACAATGAGGGGCGACTGGGGATTGTCACAGATCCCCAAACCAACGCTGGATACGTCATAATTAAAAAGGTAAATGGCCCCTTAATGGAATTTGTCATTTTTATTGATTAATTTACTTATGACTATGCAAGGACCTATAAGCAGAGGTGATTCATTAGCAGTGATCTCTCAGTCACTCCTGTCTTCTTGCAAGACAAAAGGCCAGGAATCTAGTTCTGAGTCTATCATTAACTGACCAAGTAAGCTTTGTGGAGGGAGGGAGGACTGCCATATAAAACACATAAAATACATGATAAACAATTTTTAGTGTATGTACATCCCATGTAATATTTGGGACACACACTAAAAATTATTTGTTGTTTATCTGAAATTCAAATGTAATGAGTTGTTCTATACTTTTCTTTGCTAAATCTAGGTGGAGGATGTGCTTAGGGCTTTACTTTTCCCTTTGCAAATGTGGGGTATTAGACTGGATGAACCCTGTGAGCCATTTAAGCTATAGACCCCTTATTCTAAAGTGCCAACCATAGATTCCTCTTTTAAAATGACTGAAAATTGGTAGATATCCTTTCAAGGTCTAATAGATAAGTTTATCCTTTTATCTTTTCTTTTCCCCCAACCCCTTACTTTCATCTTTTATAGTATTGCTAAGTCCACTGGCTCTTACTTTGTCTCTCCCTCTGTAAGGACCAGGCAGACCAGAGCCAAAGTCTTACTTACAATAGTACTTTCTTCTTTTTACAGGATCTTCCCATTTCTCCCTAAGTCTACTCCTCTCCCCCACTCTGTAACCTACATCTTGACCCTATTCTCTGTGGCTGCCTCATCTATGCTTTAGAGCATGTAAATGGTCTACCAGATGACTCAGTGGAAAGCAGCACTCAATGTCATCCAACATATTTAGAATTAAAAGGGATCAGGGTGACAGCAAAAGAGATTCTGCAAGCCTAGTTGAATGCTGAAGCTTTGCAGTATAGTGTGCTGGAAGGCTGAAAAAAAAAGGGGGGGTGGGGCTCCGGAGGAAAGTTTTGAATCAGAATAAAGGAAAGCTGAACTAAAGGCTTTTAAAGACAAAACAGAATAATTTCACAGGAAATGGGTAGCAGCGCCAGGAGAGTGCCAGTGCCGAGCGAGCCCTGGGGCAGTGTCAGATCCTGATCTCATCACTGCCTTTGACAGAAGGACTCACTGGGCTTCAGCATGGAGGTCTGTGTGTGGACCAACTCAAGCCATTAGCATTCTGGGTCAGTCTGGCGTTCGGAAAAGGTGCCACTAGAACTTCCCCTGTGGTTCATGCTGGAGAAAAGGAACCCTAGAGCAAAGGATGAAGGAAAGGGCATTGTTCCGAGTCTGCACTGATGCTCCGACTGCGTTTCTTCCGTTCTCTCCCAGCCCCAGAGCTCTCTAGGGATCTATGGGAAGGTGGAGGCCTGTCCATCTCAGTACGAATTATTCCACATCAACGTTTTTTCATGGTGGCTTGTTGTGAACCAACTTAAGTTAATTAGCCATTTGTGCCTAATGGGCACCTTTCAGGAGATGTTGGTAACCTCAGTGATTAGTGATAAGTCAGGGCTGTGAGCTTTCTTCCACACAACCTTGAGGAGGTATATTACAATAGAGCAGGCATGTGGCCAAAATCATTGTCAAATTCTTATTTTATTTTCGGTTGTATTCCAAGTGTCTGACATATAGCAGAGGTTTAATAAATATTGGTTGACTAAATAATTAAGTTCTTTCCCATATACAATTGTTAACAAGCAAACACAAAACTGATCATCCAACTTGTGTTTTAGACTTGTGAAGTCCTGCTTTCTGTCCCTCCAGCACTGTGAGAGCAGCACTCTAGTGAGAGGATTCGTCTGACTGTCCACAGAAAGGCGGTCCTGGGCAGACCAGGAGTGCTGGGCCTCTGGAGGGTATAAGCTGCTGGACGAGCCAGATACTTACACTCATGTTCATGTGATGACTGAGAGATGATATATATATATATATATATATATTTTTTTTTTAAGAAGTTTTGCTTTTTTTTTCTTTATTGGTTTTAGAGAAAGAGAAAGGGAGAGAGAGATAGAAACATCAGCAGTGAGGAAGAACATCAATTGGCCACCTCCTGCATGCCCCCCACTGGGGATTGGGCCCACAACCTGGGCATGTGCCCTGACCAGGAATCAAACTGATGACCTCTTGGTGCATGGATTGATGCTCAGTCACTAAACTACATGTCTGGAATACCACTAATGTCACAAAATCTCTTTGTAAGATCACTTGCTGATTAACAAACTTTCTACATAGTGCTAACTCAAGACTTGTAGTGGCTGCCTCGGGAGTATGGATCTCTGATTAAGATCTTTCAAATGCTAAGCGACGCCACCCCTGAAGTGTGGATTAGGATATACCAACTGCCGCTAGTATATATGTGTTTATGCTGGCAGATATATGTATTTATATTGATTTTGGTGTTTTAAATAAATTAGACTTAGGCTTACTTCTATTTTCCTATCCATTTAGCTGTCAGGGGACTAACATTGATTCTGAACCATCATGTTAATCATTTTTAAGTGTTTAATTTACATTTTCTAAAATAGTGGTAAAAATCATAACATGAAATCTACCTTTTAAATTTTATAGTGTACAGTATTGTTAACCATATACATATTAGCGTTTCTCAGATCTCTAGAACCCTTTTATCTTGCATGAATAAAACTCTATACACTTTGAACAAGCAACTCCCCATGTCCCCTCTCTCCAGTCACCCCTCTTTCCTTTCCTGTACATTTACTATTCTAGGTACCTCAAATTAGTGGAGTCGTACAACTTTGTCCTCTGACTGACTTATTTCACTAAACATAAAGTCCTCAAGGTTTTCCATGTTGTAGCATATGACAGGATTTCTTTCTTTTCTTTTCTTTTTCTCTTTTAAAGGCTGCATAATTTTCCATTGTAAGTACATACCACATTTGATTTATCCATTCATTTGTCAGTGGACGCTTTGGTTGTGTTCACCTCTTGGCTATTGTGAATAATGCTACAGTGAACATGGGAGTACAGATATTTTGTTTTCAGTTCTTTTGGATACATATCCAGAAGTGGGATTGCTAGATCACAGAGTAGTTCTAGTTTAAAATTTTTGAGGAATCTTCATGCTGTTTTTCCTATAGCTGTGGCACCATTTTACATTCCCACCAGTGGTGCCTAAGGGTTCCAATTTCTCCACATTCTCACCAACACTTGTAATTTTCTTTCTTTTTAAAACAATTTTATAATGGCCATCCTAACAGGTGTGGTTTTAATTTGCCTTTCTCTGATTAGTGCTATTGAGCATCTTTTAATATACCTGTATGTCTTCTTTGGAAAAATGTCTATAGAAGTCCCTTGTCCATTTTTAAATCAGGTTACTTGTGTTTTGTTATTAAATTGTATGAGTTCCTTATACATTTTGAGTGTATTAACCCCTTATCAGATATATGGTTTGCAAATATTTTCCCATTCTGTAGGTTGTCTTTTCACACTGCTGGTTCTTTCCTTTGTTGTGCAGAAGCTTTTTAGTTTTATATAGTCCTGCTCTTGTACTTTTGCTTTTCTTGCCTTTGCTTTTGGCGCCATATCTAGAAACTAAGTCTCTTAATCACAGTTCTATCAGCAACTGTTCAACTAAATTACGAATGTGCTAATTGTAGGTAAAATTCTCTGAGAAACCCATACCCCGACTGTAGCTCATTTTACTTCATGAAGCTCTCCTTTACTTTTCACACTGATTATGAGGGAAGCAGAAATAAGTCCCAGGTACAGATGAGGTTCAGGCCCACAGCAAGATATAGTCAGGTCCAGCTGGGTGGCTCAGTTGGTTGGAACATCATCCCATACACCAAAAGATTGCAGGTTTAATCCCCGGTCAGGATATGTACCTAGGTTTCGGGTTCTATTCCTGGTCGGGGCTTGTACAGGAGGCAACCAGTTGTTGTTTCTCTCATATAAATGTTTCTCTCTCTCTCTCTCTCTCTCTCTCCCCCTACCCCTCTCTCTAAAAATTAATTAAAACATATCCTCAGGCGAGGATTAAAAAAAAAAAAAAAGATATGCCCAGCCAATGTGGCTCAGTGGTTGAGCATTGACTCATACACTAAGAGGTTGCCGGTTCAATTCTCGGTCAGGGCACATGCCCAGGTTGTGGGCCAGATCCTTAGTGTGGGGCATGCAGGAGGTGGCCAATCGATGTTCTCTCTCATTGATGTTTCTATCTCTCTCTCCCTCTTCCTTCCTCTCTCTCTAAAATCAATAAAGAAAAAAAAAATATATATATATATAGTCAGGTCCCCTGGAGATGGCAAAGCTGGGCTCTTGACCATAGGCTTCTGGCTTCTCTTGGGAAATGATTTCTGTTGAGGCCTGGTGTTGTCCTTACTATCTCTGTGACCCTGCCCAAATGACAGAATCCCTCAGGTCTCAGTTTTCTGATCTGTAAAAATGGGTAAAATGGTAGCACCTTCATTAGGATGTTGAAGGATTAACTGTAAAAATGCATATATTGCTCTTAACACAGCACCCAGCAGATAGTAAACTTAAATGTGCAGCATTATCTTAATTTTGATAAATTTGAACTAGGGCAGAAGCCAGGATTCTGTCTGTGAAGAGATGTGCTTGCCCCTCTTGCCAAGGACGCCAAACTTGCCTAATCCCAGGGTCAAATGGTACCCACTGGGGACTGCTAACTCAGCCTCTCCAGGGAAGGACCTGGAAATCAGTAATTTTAACAAGACAACGGCAAAAGGGGGAAAAATACACTCTTGTTTTTCTCCTTTAGTCTCGTACTACTCCCACACTGCACTTCTGTGAGTTTTCCACATATCAAGTAATTCTCTTGCACCAGCCTGATGCACGGCAATTCAGCTCAGTTCTGGCACCATCTATGTGGAAGCAGCACAGACCCCGCAGGTTAAGGGCTCAGTTCCACAAGACTGCCCCTACTTCGGAAGCCAGTGGAAAATCCCAGGTTGTCACCTATGCTTCTGACCGACTGGTTTTACATCAGAGGTTCCTATGACTCCCTCCTCAGGTTCCATCATTTT